GGGCGACACTGTTCAGTGATTTGTAGACATACATGAGTATTTTGAACTGGATTCGAAAGGGAACCGGTAACCAGTGCAGTGAGGCCAAAACTGGTGTAATGTACTCTCTTTTGTCTGTACTGGTTAAAAATCGGGCTGCTGCATTCTGGACCAGTTGTAGTCGTGCAATGGAGGTCTGACTGATACCAAACAGGAGTGAATTGCAGAAATCAAGCCTAGATGTAATGAATGCATGTATTACTGTCTTCAGGTTATTTTTGGATAATATGGGCTTCAGTTTAGACAGCCGCCTCAGTTGGAAGAAGCATGATTTTACAATCATGTTTACATGATTGATAAGCTTCAGGGAAGGGTCCATTATCACGCCCAGATTAGTGACTCTTTGTTTTTCTGACAGGGTTAGAGTGGAAAGGTTGATGCAGCGGTTTGTGATCGTGTCGTTGGGAGGGAACAACATGACTTCAGACTTCTTTTCATTGAAACTTAAGAAGTTTAAAGCCACCCAGTCCCTGATGTCAGCCAGGCAGTTGAGCAGCGGTTGAATAGAGCATGTACCATTGTGTCTTAGGGGGAAGTAAATTTGACAGTCATCGGCATAGAAGTGGAAGGGCATGTTGTGTTTCCGGAAAATAGCACCAAGCGGCAGCAGGTATAAAGAGAATAGGAGGGGACCCAGTATGGACCCCTGCGGATCCCCCCATTTAAGCTTTGCCTCTGCGGAACTAAAATCCTTGATGGAGACACAAAAAGATCTGTCAGTGAGGTAAGATCTGAACCAATTGAGGGCTGATCCTGTGACGCCCACCCACTGCTCCAACCTAGCAATGAGGATCTCATGGTCGATGGTGTCAAAGGCGGCTGTGAGGTCCAACAGGACAAGCAGCACAGAATCACCGGTATCTGTGAATCTGAAGATGTCGTTAAAGACCTTCAGCAGGGCAGTTTCAGTGCTGTGGAGAGGTTTAAAGCCAGATTGGAAAAGCTCTAAGATGGCGTGATCCTCCAGGAAGCACTTAAACTGGGACTCGACTATTTTCTCCAGTACTTTAGAAACAAATGGGAGTTTGGAGACAGGCAGGTAGTTGGAAACGACTGAGGGGTCAAGGTTTGTTTTTTTTCAGGAGAGGCTGGACAGCAGCATGTTTAAAGGTTTTTGGCACCACACCAGTGGATAAACTACTGTTTACTATATCAAGAATGGACGGACCTAGAGTTGGAAAAACCTCCTTTAGTAGTCGATGGGGGACCACATCAAAGGGGGAGCCAGAAGGTTTCAAGCTGCACATGACCTGCTCTAGAGAAGATAGAGTGATGGGTTCAAAATGGTCAAATGGAGCTACAGATTGAGGCGGGATGGATGGGTCATGAGTTGGAGGGGAAATGAGAGCCCGGGTGGTCGCAATTTTTTCCAAAAAGAAATGTAAGAAGTTATCGCACAGCTCAGTCGAGGCTTCCAGAGGTGATGGTTCAGTGAGGTGGAGAACAGAGTTTAGGGTGGAGAAGAGGACACGTGGGTTGTGAGAGTTTGAGGTAATTATATCAGAGAAGAATTTTGATTTAGCAGCTTTTACTGTTTTCTGATAACAGCGCCAACTCTCTTTAAGTATCTGGAAAGAGACCTGCAGCCTGTCTTTCCTCCACTTTCGTTCCACCCTCCTACATTGCTGCCTAGCAGCCTTGGTGACGTCACTCAGCCAGGGTTCTGCTCTGAGTTTTGATTTTTTGGTTTTAACAGGTGCAACATGATCCAGAGTCTTTAAGCAGACATAGTTGAACTGGGATGTCAGCTCCTCAGTGGTGGTGAGAAACAATGGGGGCTGAATTATCATTTCAGAGTAATAAACATCTGTGAAACGTGCGGCAGTGAAGTGGTTAATGGTCCGGGTGCTACGTGCAGGAATGCATGGCTTAGGAGTTAGATGGGGGAGGGTGAACTCAAACTGGACTGGCATGTGGTCTGAAAAAACATTATCACCAATAACAAGATTACTAACAGTCATATCATGAGTTAAAACAAGGTCCAGTGTATGTCCGTGCTCTTGGGTGGGACCGTTTACATGCTGAGTTAAATTAAATGAGTCCAATAAATCTAAAAAGTCCTTAACCAAGGACTTCTCAGAACAGCACACGTGCAAATTAAAGTCACCAATAATGAAAAGATGCTCATATTTTGGTGTGATTTCAGCCAAGAAGTCAGAAAACTCATTTATGAAATCCTTAGACCGAGGTGGGCGGTAGACAAATGCAAATAACGTCGCAGGTGAAGGTCTGAGTTAAAAGACGCTCAGCTCAAAGCTAGCGCAGGAAACTGGGATGGGCAGTTGTTTACAGTCAAAAGTTGATTTGAATATTGTTAATAATCCACCACCGCGCCGTCCTGATGGCCGCAGGGCGTTAAAATACAGACAGTTTGGTGGCAATAATTCCGTCAAGGCGCTGGACTCACCCGGAGACATCCAAGTCTCTGTGATGCACAGCAAGTGCAAATCGTGCTCTTGAAAGTAATCCCTGAGGATAAAAGTTTTATTGATAATAGATCTTGTGTTGACCAAACACATCCGGATACTGTCCAAAGTGGAGCCAGTAGCGGTGGAGTTAGCACGCGCTAATGGCCGCAGGTTTTCAATAACAGCCCCTCCAGGTCGGTCCGAGCTGCGCAATGGCTGACAACTAAAGCTGGTTACCTGGTCCGGGCACACGGGAAGTTGGAGATGGAGACCATGATCATCAGCGGGAGAGGAAGATGCAGCGCGCAGAGCTTTCAGCTTCACCAGCTGACCAGCACGTTTTCCCCGGTGTCTGAAGTGAGATCTCCGGGCAGGGAGGTGAGGAGCGCAGCGAAGGTAAGCTGGCACGTCCGCCAGCAGGGGGGGAGGAGGGGGGTGGGGGTCCAGAGGTACGCTGATAATGGTTCAGATAAGCGACTTCAGTGCCAGAAAAACAAAGATTCAAAAGTTGTTGTCTGTCATACACCAGCAGAGAGTTGATGTCACAGATGTGAAATGCAAAAAACAAAAATAATCGGAACACCATCAGCAGAGGTGGATTGCAAGCCATGTACACGGGCGCCATCTTACCGGAAGTCATGTGAACAATACAAGAATAAAACTCTACAAAATTTATCACAAACATTTGCATAACATTTCCAACTTGTACACAATAACGTACCTGCACAAAATAACACAGCAATTCAGTCATTGTGGATAGAGATCTTGTGGACAAAATAGCACGAGCTCTGTTTTGCCTGTAAAACAGCACTACAGTTAGCTGCTAGCTTAGCTGACCGCATGGATATAAAAC